GGTTGGAGCTGGAGGAGCTTTAAGGTCCCTTCCAATGCAAACCATTTGATTTTCCTATGATTTATTTATATCCACACCAAGCCCAAGCTCAGCCTCCCGGATCTCACCTTCCACTGTATGGAGAGTTTGAGATCCCCATCCTTAGAGGCTTTCAAAACAGCCAGGCAAGACCTGAAGCAGCCTTGACTCTGAAGCATGCGCAGGAGGTTGGAGTAGAGACCTCCAGAGATCCCAATGGTGTTATCTGATTCTGCCTTCTCCCGCTTCATGTGCATCAGGCTCTGCTACACCATCACCACTGGCCTGACCAACACACAGCCCTCCCTGACTGACCCACAGGTCAGGGAGCCCAAGTCCATCATCTCTACCTGGCACTGGCTGCTTTTGCTCAGGAGGCAGAGCAAAGCACAGAGTGTACCTGTGCGCAGTTGTTCAAGGAGCGGACAGTCACAAGCAAGGCCCTTTGCCACCGCAGCATGCACCAGAATAAGCTTTGCTTTGCAAAGAAACTGGCCCAGAACTGGCAAGGATCCCAAGATGAAGACTGCAGAACATTTCTCCTCAGCAGGAAGGAGTCTGCATTCCCAGCAAGAATGAGTGTGAAATACAAATCACTGAGCACTTGCTGCTGTTTGTCCAGGTCGTTACAGAGCACCCATGGGTACCTACAGTAAAGGATGGATGACAGGGGCTATCTTGTCATTTCCATGTGGCCCTTCAGGGATTTTAGCAGCTTTCATCCCCTAGATTGAAATCAGACCAGGTGAAAACACACCACAAATTCCTTTTGGATGAGACAGCCTAGGGACACACCAGGGGCTGGGAATCAGTGGCAGGGGACTCAGAGCGAGTCCTGAGCCATCAGCCCGTTTGCAAAGATGAGCGTTGAGCTCACAGCTCTTCTTGCAGAGCCCCGCTCTGGGGTCATTTCTTCATCCCAGAGGACGGGCCGCAGTTTCCTGGTGCTCCTCAAGCCTGGAACTTCATCTGTAGGTAACAGGGCGAGAGCAGCCAAACGGCCAGCCCTGGCAATGCAAGCTTGCTGCCATCTCCCGGCTGGCTTTGGCCATGCAAAATGTCACAGGACACGTTTTCCCAGCTGGAAAAGTCCGCATTTTGAGATAAAAATCCTTCCTAGCTCCCTTCTGCCCCTGGGATGCCCCAGGTTCTGCAGCCACCCAACTGACCAGGAACCAGGAACCGGAGTTCCAGAGAAAGAAAAACCTCCCAGTCCACTTGGGACTTCCATGGGGGTTGCTGTTTGCTGTTTCTCTGTGCGTGGTGCAGCTCGTGGCTCACGTCACAGAGACTAAAGTGAAATGAATGAGTCCCCTTAAGAAGGCTCCAGGGATGCTCAGTGACCTGTGCAGCATCCTGGGGACACAGGGAGCTTCCCGTAGTGATAAGACCACAAAGGAAGGTTTATTTCTCTAGACACTGACTCAGCTTTCATCTCCGGCAGCGTTTCTCAATCAGTCATTTCAAAACGTTTTGCCAGCAGTACTTAACCCCTGCAACACCTCTGTGGTATAGGGCTCAGCAGCCACACACCCCAAACAGGGTGACTGGATGGAGGAGACAAGTAACTCCGTCAAAGAAGGAAGGAAGGAGCAAAGAAATGATGATATCCCCAGTTCCCCATCCCATGTCCTAGCAAAACCATCCCCACAAGCCTCCAAATGGTCAGCATGCAGCCCATTTTCCCATGCTATGTACTCCATTCACTAGCCAAGTTAATGGTGGCTAAGAATAGAGCCCAGATGCCCTCCTGGCCTGAAAATCTTCCTGCCCTCAAGGAAATGCAAAGCCCGAGTGGTCTGTGGCATGTGTGGGACATGAACAATGAGCCAGAGCTATTGAAAGCTTGCACATATCAAAGAATCCACCAAAAATCACTGCTTTTACATAATCTCTGTTCCAGTTCGGGGCAATAAGTGTTTAGCAAGGATAGCACAGAACAGAGCAATGGATCTATAAAGGATCTATAAAGGATTCCTATAAATGAATCCTTCATTGGTATAGAGATTATACCAGACAGAGCCAGAGCTGTTCAGATGTCTGTTTTCTGTTACCTATTTCTGCCTATTTATCACTGTGACAAATGCACAATCCTGTAACCATCTGCTATTTCTGAACAAAGACCATTTGATGGGATGCCTTTAGAAAACTGCATCTTAAGTGCAATTTACCACTGCGTTATTCTGGGGGGAACAGGAATTATTGTATAGTGCCATTTTATATCCACAGTCCCCAATACATTTGGGAAATGTCCCAAAACACACTGAAGATAGCACTGTGGGGTTCTGCATCACTGCTAAGAATCAAAGCATTCATGTGCAGAATAAAGAGCAATTTCTTTCTGCATAAGCATTTTCCTTCTGTTGCCTGAATCCAGGCTCTTGATAATCAGCAATTACAGGGAAGAGCTGTAACAATCAGATGGCAGTTTGCACTTGCAGAGAACCATGCTATTTATTGCGTCAGTTATTCAGATGGAGAAAGCTGTTTGGAATCCTACTGGTAAATGAAAAAAGAAAGCTATTTCAGAAAGCTGAAATGGTATTAATAGAGAGTCTAAAGAGCCTAGAGAAGAACACAATCCATTTGGAACTGATTTGGTTTGCTCAGAAACAGGAAGGAGTAAATATGGGATTTAAGGAGCTTTTCCTGCACTAAAATGTGTTACTTTTTGAATGATGTTTTACCAAATCGTCTTTAATGTAGTATTTTGGAAGGTGATATATAGGCTTCTATAGCACCACTGGCTATAGCACCATTAACCTCCAGTAAATGACAGTTCATTCACCTGTACCACACACAGGCCCCAGACTCTGACTGTTCAGATTTACAAACAGAAAGGCTGAGGCAGAGGCTATGGAATGATGAATCACAGTTAATTCTACAATCAGGGCCTCCAGCTCCCCTTTGCTTGCAGAGAGGGGGTTAAAAACCCAATTCCCAGTGTGAAATAATGAATAAAGAATCCTGCAAGACCTCTTACAGCACAGAGGTTTTGTTCCTTTTCCATGCCAAGGCCTGACCTTCAGCGAGCTGCCTGCTCAGAACCCCTACCCATGAACCCACATTGAAGCCAGGCAGGTGATACTGTGAAGCCTCCCATGGTGGCCAGGTCTGGGAGGACCTACCCTGGCTCTGCCCCACTCCATCAGGGCAGGGACACTTATCCTGGGCATAGGGAACCCAGGCCTAGTGCCAGGAGGGAGGAATGCATCCCTCCCATGCACGGGTCAGCTGCTGCATGGCAACAGGAGCAGGGGTTTCCATAGCACTGCAAACAAGAGAACAGGAGACAGGAGAGAGCCCAGAGCTGAGCTGAGCTGCTGCCACGTCGCATCCATGACCACATCCACATCCATGACCACGGCACCCCTCGGAGAGGAGCCGCGAGGAGCTCTCCTTTAGGTGAGAAACCAGAGAATAAAGGGGTGAGGGCAAGCACAGCAGTTTCCTTTCTGTTTTGACATCAGATTGAGTCTCACTCAGACAAGTGAAGGTGCTGGTGTGTGTCACCATTCACAAACCCTTCCTTCCCCATGGGAGAACGGGAGGGGATGTATTGGGAAACAGGGCACATCTGTCCCTGGAAGAGCTGCTCTGCATCATCTTGGAGTGGTTTCCCTGCGAGCACAATGAGCCTTCCCTGCAAGCGATGGGATCATTGAAATCATTTGAGTGTACAAAACAAAGGCTCATCCAGTGCCCCGGGAACCCAGTGGATGGATCTGTGCTGGGTTTGAGAGCTGTTTGCCTGTTTACTTTGGCAGCTTCTTTTCTGCAGCTTGATGCTAAGGAAAAGGGCTGAATATGTATTTCAGTAAATTAAAACCATGGATGCCTTATCTATTGGCTATTGGTATGTAGCTACTGAAACATTAAAGTGTCAGAGGCAGTGAAATATATGCCAAAGGATTCTGGCAACAAAGCTACTTTTGTATTTGCATTATTTAGCTTAATAATTATAATTCCCCCAACCAGCACTTCTGTAGCTTTTGGCATTGTTTCCAATGTGATGTGCAAACAACCTATAAAAAAAGCCCCCAAAATACCTTGATAAAGTGTGTATTTATAAGTTAATCTTAGAAACAGATTCCTATACTTGTCTAAAACACTATTATAAAGCACTTTTAATCTCAAAGGGTTGCACTGATAATTATTTTCCATATACCAGTATCCTCTGCCTAGTCCTGCTTTTCAGTCCCGTTCCCTGCAGCGGGAATTTAAATCAACCACATGAGGATGTTTATGAGAAGGGGTTTAGATGATAGAACCAAGAAGAGCACTAAGAGGGCTGAACATCCCAGTGTTTGCTGGCCACAAAGTGTGTTCAATGGAATGCTGCAGGCATTTGCCTTCCTGCCCCTGCCCTGATGCGGTTTCCTCCAAAGCTCACATCAGCAGCAGGGGTTATGTTGTTCCAGGATGCAGATGAGGGACCCCTAGGGAAAAATACCCCACTGAGTTATGCAAACATGAAATCAAACCAACACACCAACAGGGCTTTGGGAAAAGGCTCTACAAGAGCTGAGGAAGAGAGGGAAAACATTTGGGATGCATTGGAACAGCCTAAATTCCACCTCGGCCTCTGCATCTCATCGACAGGGAAGGTTTGGCACCTCTAAAGAATAAGATACTAATTGGGCAGCTGCACAAACACAGCCAATAGGAACCACAAAGCACCGAGGACATGTACATGGAAATTAGGCCAGATGAGTTTAGCTCAAAATGCTTACAACCTGGAGGCTGTTCAGAGCAAGAAATGATGCTCTAAAATAGCCCTAAAACCAGTGCGAGTAGAAGAGGAGATTTTCTTCCATGTCTTAAGCCAGTGAGGATCAGGAACGGTCCCAGCAGCAGAACTGCATCAATTCACTAATACCTCCTTGGACCCAGATTGCCACTTCTGTTGATGAAAGGGTAACTTTAACAATGGTATATCTGTTCTTTGTAAGTGAGCACATTACAATTACACCTTTTCCCCTAGGAACCACAGCAAAGGCTACAAAAAGAGACAGGATTCAGGGAAAGCAAATCCTAACCTTCAACAGTTTGCCAGCCTAACATTAAACACGACAGAGTTCCCTGCAGCATGTCTGTGCAGTGCAACAGCCAGTCAGCCTTATTGCAAGAAACCCACAGTAATGAAGCAGCTCCTGATAAGACCTTTAGGGACTACAAATGTTGCTTGTGAAGCAGCAATAGGAGGATGAAAAAGTATGGGTGTGGATTAGATCTGGAGATGCGGGTGGAAGAACAGGCAAGGGTTGCTTGTTGTCTCCAAATTGGATTGTCTTTGCTGTCCCATCAGTGTGTGCGTAAGGAGGACTGTGTTTTACATTAGCCAGGGATGAACATCTCCCTTTGGGGGTCAGAACACAAATATTTTCCAGTTGACTGGAGCTTGTTGTTAATTCCTACAGACACAAAAGGCTCAGTGGTTCAGATCCAGAAGACCCCAGAGTCCATCAGTCTGTAAAACCTACTGCATCAGCTACTGGCAGGTCCCAGCTGACTGATGTGTTTATGGTTTTCCTTGGGCCAGGGTCAAGACTGTCATCTGCACATACAATGTCAACATCTGAAAGTCTCTTTTCCAAAACCGGAAGGGAATCCCAGCTTGTGCTGCCAGGTAAGACCATGATGCTCCAGCAGCTTTTGGTTGTTAGGTAAAAGGAGAGGCCGATCACTGGCTTCTTATAAGCTGTGCCCAACTTCCTGCTCATGATTGAGCACTGCTCAGGTGGGATGCAGCAGATCAGAGCCTCTTTGCACCAGTCCTGATATTCTGCCTCGTGTCTTCTACATCCTTTTTTTTTTTTTCAGAAATCCCAGGAAAGGATGAAGAAAAAGCAAAGAAAAACCCATCTGCAGTTCCTCCAGATTTCGATATCTTCTCAATAAGGGAAAAGGAAAGACAAAAGGCTCAGGAGGTACGTATATGTGCTTTAGGTCAATGTATACACAAGCAGTTCACTGGGGCAGGCAACCAAGGAATATAACATCGAAATCTAGTGCATGAGAGAAATAATAGCTGCCAGATTTAGCTAAGATTCCCCCAGATCAGCTTTAAGTCCATGATGAGAGATTAAGTTTACCAAGAGCAGATCTGAGCACAGCCTTGCTGGTTGCTGGTGCAAAAGGTGGATGTTGTCACATTGTCTGCCTGCTTCAAGATTTACCACTCATTCGTGTTCCTGGAGAAGAAATCAGCGCTAACAGCACTTTGTATGTTTCTGTATAAAGCTTTGATGCAAGATCTCTTGCTTTCCACTTCAAAAGGCTTGGCTTTCTGCTTGGAAAGCTGTATTCCAATGTTGGATGTGACCTTCTGAACTGCCAGCAAACAAAATGGCTGGGAAGAAGCATAACATGGATTTCATGCCTTAGGTTTCTCTCCATAAGACAGGGAATTGCAACCAGACCAGAGAGCTGGGTCCCAGGAATGTCTCTTTCTTATTTCTACAGTGGACTTCCCTTAGGGCATGCCATCCAAAGGAACAGCCTACTGCACCTCTGAGAGCTCTGATTGCTGCACACAGTTGCAGAAGCCAGGCAGTGGTATGGAAGCAAGAGGCCTTTGTTTCTAAATCACAAAGGGAGCCTCCTCACTTCACACTGATGACTGATTCAGTCTGGTGTTCTCTTGGGTTGAAAGTCACTTCATTAGTTCAGGGAAGGGCTTAGGATGTCTGCTGAGTGACATCCTCAGCCTTACCCATGCCCAAACTGTGCAGACAGCAATGAATTGCACTTCATCCCATGTGAAAGCACTGAGTATGAACAACCTTTTACCTTCCAGAAAGCTCTGGGGTGGGTTTAAACAGACGATCTCAACATGAACTTGAAGGTTTACATGCCTTTGTGATAGCTGGAATAGTCAGTATTGAGTGTGGGCTGTCCTCTTGTTCCCTTTTAATAGGGGACTTGAAGGATGAATCTCTGCAAATTTCCATTCTCTCCCAGGAATAACCCAGGAAGGCAAAATGAGGACAGTGAGTAGGTACAAACCGGCACAGCTGGTGGCTGGATGCAGAATACAAATCAACAACCTAATGGGAACAAATGCTAAGAAAGGAAGCGTTTCGCAAGTACCATGGGTATTAGTTAGATGAACCAGGCAAACGTGCTGCAGCAGGGAATCAGCCACCTTCTAGACTGTGAATAATCCCTCGTGCCTTTAAACCCACAGCAAACACAGCACATAATCACATCGTCCACATAACTGCTTTTTCATAGGAACGTGAAAGGATGAAGACCATGAAAATCCATGAGAAAACCACTTATTCTACTAAAGTAAAAGCAAAGCAAAAAGAGTTAAGGCAAGCTCTGCAACAGGAAGAAAAGGAGGAGGCCAGAAAACAGGCAACAAATGAAGAGAGACTGAAAGCTCATCAGAAGAGTCTTTTACGGGAGACAGCCTGTAAAAGAGGTAGGGAACAGTTGGTATCTTTGTAATGGTGCTGCTCAGCTGGGTGACAGCCTAAAGCAAAACTCAGAGAGGGGATGGGAGCAGCAGTTAGTTCTAGCTGACTCTGGTGAGCTCTTGTAGACATAGCACTTACACACTGCATGGTGCCAGCCTCTGCCCCATCTCCATCTCATGCCTCGTGTCACCTCCACTTCCATGGCCTGGGTTACACCATCCCCTGTGGCCTTCACAGTAGCTGGGATCATTCAGAATCAGCTGGGGCCATGTAGGACCTTGTGTCATGGAGATGTTAATACTAAGCTGACTTAAAGTTGGATTTTAGTGGATGTGGGCCTCTGATATGAGGAGCAGCTTTGCTATTAATGTTTACAGGACATTAACCTTTGTAAGGACCAGATTCCCCACTCCATTCTACCTGGTTTTACCCCACAAAAGCCCACATGAAACTGATCCTAAACAAAGTCAAAACTACAATAAAGTAACTGGTATTGCTGGCTCCAGTGCCAGCCACATCCATGTTCATGACAGCCTACATGTCCACTGTGTTTTGCCTCGGCTATATTTCCTTCTCTAGTCTGATCAGCTTTATCTTCTCATTGCAGATTACCCAGCAAACAAGCAGACCTTCCGTGACTACATAAATGACATAAGAGAGATATCTTTACTTGAGGTACTTGGCTTTAAGAATATTACTTTCTATTAATTCCATTACTGTTCCTGGTATTGCTTTCGTTTGGTTTTGGGGTTTTCCTCCCCTGAGATCCATCTCCTAGAGATTCTACCAAGGAGGAGTACATCAGACCTCATGAACTGGCTGTCCAAGTCCTGTGTTAAAGACACTCATAGTCAATAGCCTAGCAATTCCAAACCAAGAAAAGAACATAGGTCATTGGCACCATCCGGTAGCAACTATTTCATTGTATAATATATATAGTAGATATAAAAATATATATTTAGTATATGTGATATATATCATATATATACACTGACCTTTTGGCTCCTGCTGTCCTATACGTAAGTTATAGCTGGGAGCTGTTCTGAACTCAGAATAAGGGACCCATGCTGGAATATCCCCATTATTCACCTCTATTGTTGTTCTGTAACAGACTGAATTAAACTTTGTCAGCCAGCGGCTAATGCAGTGCTGAGATTTCTGGTTTCTGTCCTTAATTTCACCTTTTATTTGCTATATTACTTCTGAAATATCTCCTGGCCCCTATGCACCTAGTTTGTGTTAAGACACATACCGTGGTTTGAAAACCTTACCCTCTCTACCACCAACTATAAGGTAACCAAGCACAAAGCTAAAGCAACATACCTTTAACACCAACCAACCAATGTGACTGTGCTGCCTTTTGGGTTCATTTCAGTTTGGCATAACAGTACAGAGAGAGGAAATTCAGAGGCTGGAGGAGATAGCAAGGAATGAGGAGAGGAAGGTGGAAAAGGCTGCATACTGCCTGAAGAAGGAAGCTGCCCGTTTTGAAGAGTTCCTGAAGGAGAGCCAGAAAAACTTTGTTCAAGCCCTGAAAATGTAATGGATGTTGAGGGAACCACCCCTGTGCCCTTTACACTGGACACAGGAGGTCTTTTGCTTTACCTCCTGCAGGGTTTTGGCTGGGAAATCCTCTGTGTCTGAGCTTGTCCAGAGTTACAGCCCTTTCTCCCTGCACATTCAAGGAAAGAGAGGAAGAACAATAGCTGGGGGATCCCCTCACTACAAAACCCTTTAATGAGGCTACAGTAAAGGAACCTACTGCTGACCCCACCACTTTTCTCCTTCTCACATCATCCTTACGAGAGGGAGATGCCTCTGACTGAATGCTCACAGCAAGAGCAGTCCCCTAAGAGGAGCCAGCTGAGCACGTGGGTATCACAAGAGCAGAACAGCAATTGATGCTCATCAGCAGCCAAATTAAAAGACTTTAACCTGGAAGCATCACTGGCCCCCCCATGCTGTCTTTGCCAATACAGGCAGGAGCCAAGCATCCCTTGGGATGCATGGATAGCAGGGATTTCTAGCACTCCCCTCACATCTATTTCTCTGTTTCATATGCATCTCAAATCCCTCCTCACTTCCTGATGAACCATTTCCCAGCTGATGTTCATTCCTTCTTCCCCAGTGATGAAAAAGAAGTTGAAGAGGAGACAAAGAAAATAGAGGAGGAGATCCAGGAGGTCAATTCCGAAATCAAGAAACTCCAACGGTAACGGTTGCACACTATTCCACTTTTCCTGCCCAGCCTTTAACAGCTCCTGCAGTGCTTCACCCTCCCACCCTTGGGGAACAGGGAATTGGGGAAGAAGATTTCTAAAAGTATTAAGTTTTAAGAGTGAGAATCCTGGAACGGTTTAGCGTTGGAAGGGACCTTAAAGCTCATCCAGTCCCAACCCCCAGCCATGGGCAGGGACCCCTTCCACTAGAGCAGCTCGCTCCAAGCCCCTGTGTCCAACCTGGCCTTGAACACTGCCAGGGATTCATTTTCCAGGAAGAATTCCCAAACTAGCAAGCTGAGAGCCATAGGGATGTGACCAGGCAGCAGCCACATGAGGAACCACAGAAAGCACGCAGGGCAGGTTCCCCTTTGTCTCTGCATGTCCATGGAGATATGTGCCCTGTTGTCGCTTCTCTGGCTGATGCTAAATATCAGGAGTTGGAAAGAACCTGTTCAAACAGGGGCTCTTCCTCCCTGCTAACAAACTCTGTCCCCTTCTCTCAACCCAGAGGCGTATCCGAATTGACGGTCAATCTGAAGGAGTACAGGATGTACGGGAAATTCCTCCGTCAACTCTCAGAGTGGCAGGGGAAACATAGCAAAAGGAACACAAGCACAAGGGATGTGAAAACAGCACCCAGTGCTACAGAAGGAGATGCCTCACCTCCCATCACTGCAGAGCAGGGTGAGTGCCAGGGGCGAGCTGCCCACCCCTCACTGGGACAGCCCCATCCTCTAAGGGTCCATCCCTCCTTGTCTCCAGGCCAAGGTGGGGCAGCAGGGACAGATGCTGCCAGTCCCAGCAGTACCAATAATATGGATGTGCCAAGTTTCCTGCTCTCTTCAAAGCCTTTGACTGTCGAGTCTTTGCGGGACAGCATAGAGCTCCTGAAGCCTCTGTCACCAAGGCAAACGTAAGTACAAGACAATGCACACAACAGACTGAAGTACTATAGGGAGCCCTCAGCTGAGGGAGTCAGCATAGAGGAAACCCACTCCTCAGCTTTGGGGGCATACGGAGATCTGGGTCTGATTGGAGCAAGTCAAACCAGCAGTAGAAATCTATCAGGTGCACAAGTCAGCACCTAGGTACCTGCTCCATCCTCAAATCCTCTGCTCAGAGCCTTGCCAGAAGGATTTGGGGTGGCCTTGAGTGTTTTGCCATTAATGAAGGCCTGAGGCCACTGTAGACCCACATTGCATTGAATGCTCTCACTAAGAGCCTTCAGGCAGTACCTGCTGGGCTGCAGGCAGAGAATCACTGCTGTAACACAGGCAGGGCCAGCCCAAGAAGAGGAAGGGCAGGTGGGACTATGGGATAAGTATGTCCAGATCCAGCTTCTTGAGGCAAATAGAGCAATTGCTTGGAAAAGCAAAGCAGGAGTGGCTGGTGAACTTCCCAAGCCCCAAAAAACAGGCTACCAATAGAGTTTGAAGTAAGTCATTGCTGCAGGGCCATTTCCTCTGCCTCCACTCAGAGCATTGCAGATTCCAGGTTCTCCCAAGTCATTGCACTCACTGGGCTGCTGCCACATGGCAGGAATGATGCAGACACAAGTGGGCTGATATTGACACTATGCACGTGGAGTTTTCACCTCTCTGTGGCACAGGGGATCAGGTCCAAGTGAAGGTGTTGAGCAGGCTCTGCTACCAACAGGAGTAAACAGCAGCAGCAAACACCAACAGTGCCCCTCATTCACTAACAAGGTCTCCTTTGAGCTGGCATTTCTCCAAGGGGCTGACACACAAAATGCTTTTTCAGGACCTTACTGGAGGATGCAGAAACCAAAACGAGCTCGGATGAAGATGAGGTCAGGAGTTTCATGTTGAATATTCACAGTTTCTGTTTGTCCTGTGTCATTTACTGATGTTACTGATTTCTTTCACCCTCTAAGTATTCATTATGCTATTGAGGACTTCCTGCAGCCATCACCTGACAAAAACCTACCATTACCCCAAAGCTTGCCCTCCCCCAGTGAGGGGGGTGGCACTAGATGATCTCCAGAGGTCCCTTCTGACCCTAATGATTCTATGATCCTATATCACGTTATACAGTGGGAGATTGGGGAATGAGGGAAGTTATTGGGTTTTCAATGGAAAACCAAAATGAGGAAGGCAGAGATTCCCAGCATGTGTTTTCCACTCCAGGAGCCCGAGCTGTACTTTACTGATCCCCAACAACTGCTGTCTATTTTCATGGAGATGGAGGATGAGAAGTTCTCCGTCCTCCAGAAATCCCAGGAGGCAGAGGAAAGTCTGAACAAGGTCCTACAGACTTTTATCACCACACATGAAAGCATGTAAGTGTGATCCTGCCCCAGCTTTAAACATAAGTGACCCCCTCTTCTCCCCACTAGCACTTCACCGTTGGGCTGCACGTTGCAGACCACAGGCAATGCTGCTCATGCAGCACACAACAAAGACTCTTTCTCACCCCATAGAGCCCAAGCTGCAGCCCATCCAACTCATCATCTCGTGAGCCCATAGCAAAGTGTCTCCTCCATGTAATTCAGGAGATGGGACTCGAGCTTGAGAGTAGTTCCTTAGTCCTCAAGGCACAGGCTGGGGAACTGATTCATTCACATCCCAGAGCAAACAACAGCCAGAAGTACCATGTAATTCTCACCCAGAAAGATCCAAGGAAGACACCAGGCATGTCCTGGAGCGATCCAGACAAGCACCTATTCCAACTCAGTGCAAACCCTTCGTAGAAGAAGCCAGCAAGGAACCCAAGCATATTTGTAGTATAGTGTTTCAGTGACAGGTAGGCACCCATGTTCCCATTTAAAGTGCAATTTATCCCCTTGGAAAAGTTTATAAAGGTAATCTACTTCCCTTATTAGTTATTATAAAATCTCGACTATTCAGCCATGCCGCTGGTCCCTCCCCAGCCCCAGCATTTGGTGTTATTGCTGTTATTCCAAGAAATCCCTGGTTCCCTCTGCCTCAGGGCTGCGGGGGCAAGCTCCCCAGGAATGGCACGAGGTGTTACCTCCATCTGCCGGCAGCAGGAGGGATGGTCCCAGGCTGGAAGGCACCAGCAGCAGCAGCACAGGAGTCGCGTGTTTCAGAGATGCCCTTTCGCTATCCCTCCTTTCTCTTGTGGCCTAGGGAGACGGAGATAGCAGAGCTGAAAGAGCAGGTGGCCACTCTCAAGTCCTCCATCGCCGAGGAAGAAGAGAGAGCAGCAGATCTGAAGCTCAAAGCTCAGCTCTTTTCCTCTGGAGAAGGCAAAGCTGATGACGAGGTACGTGCCGAGATGAAGGCAAGGGGGGGTTAGTGCATAAATGGTTCCTCTCCACCAGCCATACCCATCCTGGGAAGAAAGCAGTGGCTGCACTGGGGAGGGATGGGTGCTGTTTCTCAGCAACGGAGCAGGTTTGGGGCATTACTGAGGAGCAAAGTGATGTGTCTGCTGCATGCAGGGCCGTGAGGCGGGAGTTGGGCTCACAGAGGCAAGTGGGCTGCAACCCACCCCAGGCCACAGCGACGCTGGGGAGATGAGACCAACAGGAGAATGGCTCCTCATCTATCCATCTATGCCAGACACTGGTGCTAGGGAAAGAGGGAAATGAGCAACTGAGCTTCGTTGAGGGAATTAAAGCGCGCTGATTTCCTCTGCTTTTGGAGGGATGCTGGGGTTCTACTGGGCAGAGCCTCTTACCACATCCCCTCTCATCTCTAGGACAAAATTCTCGCGAGCCTGAGCGAGAAGGTGAAGGAAGTCTATTGCCAATGCACTGGGGAGAGCGAGGGAAACCTGCAGACAGTGCAGATGCTAATGGTGTTGGAGAAAAGGCTCAACGATTTACTGGACAGCGCAGAGGGAATCCCACCAGAAAAGCTAGAACATGCTTTGAAACTCAAGGAAAAGGAACGGAAGATAAAGTAAGACAGGACACTCTTCTGGGAATGGGGCCTTTCTTTTTAATGCTGACAGCCAAAAGCAAAGCCAAGGATCAACCTGGGAAACTGAAAGCCTGTGTGACCAATCCATCCCATTTTACTTCTGTAAGGGCTTCACAGTCATAGTCCTTGCATGTCCCAACCAGTAGCTTACAGCTGCATTAGGAAAAACATGGAAACTACATTAGAAAAAGGCCAAATCTGGAATAATTAAAACCAAGTAATAATAATAATTAAAAAAAAAGTAAATTATTAAAACCAGATTCAAGGATGAGAATGATCACCGAGAGAAGTCAGTTTGCAGTAACAATATTTAAACTGATTAAATAGGGAAACCACTGCTCTGTGGTGATTTAGCACACTCAAGGTCTGACGTGTCCTGATACTTGGTCAGGCTTCAGCAGGTACATAAGGGCATTTGTCAGCAATGCCAGCCCTCAAATGGCTCTTCCACAAAACTCTTAAGTTAAATAGGAGCAAATTAACACCATCCATGGAGGTTGACATGAGACACATTCCTTTCGGCTTACACACATGAAATAGCAAAGATGCTGCTGGAGAGTTGATTGTGTCTGCCCATCCTCAAGTGAATCAGATCCAGCAGAGAAAAATCAAACAGTACGAGGATTTAAAGCCAGAACAGTGACATTGTCCTCCTACTTACTCTTTTTCTCTGCATCTTTCTTCACCTTTGTAGTGGAAACGGTGTGATGCTTCCTCCTGGTGTTCCGTAAAGGGTTTTGCATTCTTAACTTACAAAAGAAATAGGACACACTACTGCTACTCTGGGGAGGAAGGAGGGTAACTCAGGAAGGAGTCTGACCCCCCGGATAAAAAGCAAATCTCACCACCAACAAAAAAAAGAGACCCTCAAAGAACATTTAAACCTCTCCTGAAGATCAGGTTTAGAATTCATTTCCCCTCCACCAAAGTGTTCTATGAGCCCAGATCTGTTCCAGTGCTTCATTTCCATAGGGAATTGAAGCTGGTTAACAACATCAGCCTCCACTGTGCCCATTTAGTCAAAGTAGCTCCATGGTTACACTGGTGAGAGCTTCAGACACAATGAACATCATTCACCTCCAAAGCTGGTGAGCATCCCTGTCAACTGTAGAGTGTAAGTCACCTGCTGAAAGCGGTACAGAGCATGTTTGTAATGGAGAGCAACCATCCAACCTCTCCATTTGCAAAGCTTGACGTGCTTCTTTCACCCGTCACTCCAGAAAGGACAGGATCAGCTACAGCAAGTGTTTCCCTCTCACCACCTTCCCAGCAACAGGACTCCAGCATCAGCTATACCCAACCCCTCTGCTCCAGTGGCCTTACGCTATTAGATGCAAGAGGAAATGTTAGATGTTGATGTTATGTGTCAAAAGTGTATTTGATGCATTTAATTCATCCTTCATTCAAAAGGCTCAGAGAGGAAAAGCTGAGACAACAGGAGAAGCAGAAGGAGGAAAGACTGAAAAAGGCCCTGGAAAGGTCGAAAGCAACTGGGGAAATGAAGGTAAGTGCAGGAATCCATGGCAGTCCCTCACCAAACAGCCCCACTGCAGGGAAGCTGGGGGTACCTGAATATCAAGGACTTAAGGGAAGAGTGGTACAGTTCGGGGGTGGCACCCACACTCATGTGTACCTCAGTTTACAGGACTGATGTAACTTAAGCAACTGCTGGAGTAACACTGGTTATTCCAGCACAGTGCTTTAGGCCACAGCTCCTGGTGCACACTTCATGGGTCAACACGACAGTGAAGACATGGGCTATTGAGAACAGGCCCATTTACTCAAGTTAAAGCAATACGGTTCTGCAGTGTCCATCAGCTATTTCTTTGGACTTGCCTTCCTCAACAGTACAAATAAGACTTTAGTCAGAAACCAGTTGCAGGTGCAATAGCAGGCTGTAGAAGCTGATACAATAGCAAGCTGTAGAAGCTGACACAATAGCAGGCTGTAGAAGCTGATACAATAGCAGGCTGTAGAAGCTGATACAACAGCAGGCTGTAGAAGCTGATACAATAGCAGGCTGTAGAAGCTGATACAATAGCAAGCTGTAGAAGCTGATGCAATAGCAGGCTGTAGAAGCTGATGCAATAGCAGGCTGTAGAAGCTGATGCAATAGCAGGCTGTAGAAGCTGATGCACAAGCACATGCATGGCCTTGAAGTGCTTGACACTTATTTTCTAATGGAATAAAACACACTTAAACCTGCCCAGAAGAGAGCAGGGGGCCACGGCCGCTCAAGCAGGAGCATGGCAAGGTGAATCAGCCTTAGGTGTGTGGTTCAGGCACACTGCCCCAGCGCAGCACTGACACAGGCAACTCTTCTTCCTCTGCAGACCAGCAGGAGGCTGATATTTCGCTCTGTCCTACCTCCCAAGAAGCCGAAAAGAAAGCCCAAACAAGAAGAAACAGATAAAGAGAAGGAGGAACAACTCTATTACTTCACCTGACAGCACAGCCTCACCCACAGCATGCAGGGCTGATGCTGCTCTTTTTCATAGGTCTACATTCTTGCTTGGTTGATCAACTTCACTCCTTCTTCTACCCCAAAATCCCAGGGGAAGATGCTGTGCCACAGCCCCTTTTCTCCCTCTACTCATCTTTTGCCTAAATAAATGAATTTAAATTGTCACATTTTGCTTCTCGGGTTCCTTCAAAGCAACGATGCTTTCCTCATGCAGGTTTTGATGCAAATAGCACTATCCCTCCCAACCTGACTAGTGAGATCTATCACAGTCCTGGCAACAATCTTTGTTAAGGCACAACTAAGTCAGGCACCCACAAGACATTTATTATAACCACAGATCTGCTGGAGGACTATAAAAACCCACGGCTAAGCATAGCCTTTAATCCAAGGGATGGGTTTCATTACAGACCACCTCACTACTGCGCACAAGACACAAGCAAAGGAAAACCAACAGCTCTGCAGAAATCAAGCTGCTAACAGCTAGCTTTAGGCCAGCTGCATCCATCCAAAGAACACCACCCAGTGACAAACTGACCATAAAAAAAAAAGCTTTATTAACCCTTTTGCACCAGCAGTTCGTCAGGTATCCATTGCCAGCAATGGAGTCCAAGCCAAGTGATCCCATTTTCGGCCCCAAGAGGTTAGCACTTTACATTCACTTACAAAGCTGAGTGAGGTACATTTTCAGAAGTAGAAAGATTTGGTTGGAAGTCCCATAAAAAGATGGAGTGTTCCTTGGCCATTGTAATAGATTCAGAACTGGTATGGTCCTTGAGAACAGCACAATGCTAATGCAGGCACCGGGAGCTAGAGGCATCTCAGCTTCCAGGGAGAGCACGGTGACCACTAGAGCAAGACCCAGCAGTCCTCCAGATGATTCCTCCTCAACCTTTCAACCTCTCAGGAGTGAACTCCATGCTGCAGCTACAGCCACCATGTAGAAGATCTCATCTACCAAATGAGCTTGGTTTGGAAACCCAACCTGAGAGGGTTAAGAGAGTTCTGGACATAAGCTGTAAACTCAGGCTGAGAGGAACAGAGAGACCTCAACACTAAAGACAGGAAAATAAAACTGGTTGAACCAAAGGATATAACACTGCCTACAAACCAGGATGTGAAGGTGAAGGTAACCTGTATGCTTTCTTTCCTCTCTTCCCTAGTGCTCAACCAGGAAAAAGCCTTGATCTGGACACATATATCGCTCAAAAGGCACAGGAAGTAAAAGCATTTCTGAATGACCTCGTGTGAGTTCAACACCAGTCTGACTGTAAAATAAATAAGTATGTGCAAGGTTAGAAAGATCACAACCTTCTCCTGCGTGCCATATCCTATTGTGTACAAAAATACACATGCGTGCATACACACACCTCATTGAGAATAAAAACCAGCACATACACCCCCTTAGCAAACTCCTATACATCTTTTGATAGGCATTCAGTACATCACCATGAGAAACATTTAAATTACTACCTTAAAATGTAACCAAAGGTGGTTTTCTTGTTTCCTATACAACCCTATAGTTATTTAGGTGTCTGCAATCCAGGTAAGTACAGTACATACAACCTCCCCCCCCCCAAGAGAAACTGCAGGCTTTCAGTGGGGCATATCTTCCTACGTAACAATTGTCTCCCCCCATAAAATACTCTTGACCACGGCATAGTCTGTAAACCAGTTGGAAGCTCGACGTGTATGGGACAGCAAGAAAGAACAAGTGTTAAAACAGTGTTCCATACAAAAATCCCCAACAAAACAACCCAACCCAAAGTAAAAAGGTAGTGGCCAGTTCACAGGTAACTTGGCAGCAGTTTATAGATGAGATAAAATCAAGGTGCTTCAATTTACGTGACAGTCAACATTCTTCCCCGGAAAGGGAACACAAAGCTGAAACGAACCTCTCAGATGCTGTTGGACTCCTCACTCCTCACTTGCAGTGAGTACAGTTCTATTGCAGTTTTCAAGTTGTGCTGGAAGAATTCAGCAAAGTATTTGGGATGCAGGAGCGAGGAAAGGGAGAAACTCAACATGAGCTACAAACTGATTCACAGCTAAGGTAACGGTTAGAATCTAACTTCCTAAAACAAAGAGTTGAGGGCATCTCGTTTTCATGGTGTGGGACATTCATTTTGTTACGTGTGACACTTTTAGTCCGCTTTTCTGCCAAAACACAGGGGCCAAAACAACTACTTGTGTGTGTGTGTGTGTGTGTGTGTGTGTATGGAAGAACACTTGCAAAGGTTAGCTCTTAATTCCTCAAGGCCACTGGCTCCAGAGACCAGCAGAAGGAAGGTTTGAACTGTTGTAGGCAGGATGAATTTGTTCGTGTTAGCTGTAGAATACTTGCTTTCCTGTGAAAACAGTAAATATTACCTCAGTTTGAAGTTTAATACAGCACTTCTCCCTGAAACAACACTGTACAGCAGTCTGCCTCAGCCTCGCCAGCCTCCAGGCAGACAGGGTATCTTACACAGGCACATCAAGTGGGATTTACATCTTGTAAGAACATCTTTCAGCTGCAACTGTCCCTAGCACATTGCAAAGAGTGCAACCATCATCCAGCATTCCTGGTTTTCCTATTTTCCTTGGAAAAAGACCCACCACGGTCATCTCACTCTGTCAAGACGTGATTGCCCAACTTGTTTTCAAGTAACTCTTCTTAATAACGGTCATTCCAGATCCTGTAAGTTTATTGTGCTTCCAGTGAACTGAGAGTTATCAGAACCTGCATCATCTTCAGTGGAATTGTGTGGCTCCTGTTAAAGCAAAGAGACAGCACAAAGGGGTCAGTGCCTTCATCTCTCGATGCTTTGAATGCTTATCAGTAAGATCACCTTGACATTTAGCCAACACCAGAAAAATGCTTTGAATGGTTTAGAGGAAACCTAAAACTCTCCTACTTTGGAGAACCCCCTCAAAAGGTTTTTCTTTGGAACACTTCAGATAAGCATTACTAATGGGGATAAATTTAAAATCACTATTTGTTTTTCCCGTATTAACTCTCTACCATGGCCAACAATCCTAGAACTCTTCTTGTATTTCTAGGTTTATCACAGTAAAGTGCTCCTCTCAAATAGTAAAGCTTTTATTTTCCATCCAGGAGAAGCTTGGTTAAGAATAACTACACTCACAGTCTATCAAAACCAAAGCCCCACAGGGTCAAGTAGAAAATGTGATTTATGTACCTGCCAATCCTTCACTGCTCAGTTCTCAGCTGCTCCAGTTTACCAGAACAGCAGCTACCAAAGCATTTACACAAGATGCTCCATGAAGCTTTCTGCATTCAAACACCACTGATACTCAGCAGTGACCACGGGCAAGCAGTGAAACCAAAGACTGGAGAAGTGAGCAGGCTTTTTAACCTAACTGCACTCCCATTTAGACACCAGTCTGAAATCTAGGCTCAAGATCTCATTTCCCACTTCCCACCTCTGCTGCAGCCTGATCCTCTTTCTTGACCCACTTCATATCTGCAAGATGGGATCAAGAAAACAAGGATGGAGTACTTCAGTAGTAAATGAATAGATTCAGTTATTCATTATTCAGAAACAGAGGAAGAAAAACAACCACCTGTGATATGTCAAAGGTTGGTAACATACACAAGATCAATCTTGCAGTGCCAGCTCTCTGCTTACTGCTTCTTGTAAGTGAAATTAAACTCCCAATGAAAAACACAGTATTTGCATTAGGCTGAACACCAGAGTGTTCACACTAAATTGCCTTCACTTTCACACTAGGTAATAAAGCCCAAGGGCTCTGACATGTTGTACCTGAAGTATGTGAACAGGTAAATCCACTGTAAGCTGAGAATGCGACGAGGAAGACTGAGAACTCAGTTGAAAGGGCAAATCCCCCTCTCCTGCGGAATCCTCCTGTGAATACAGAAACATGACGCACTTACATGACCTCCAAGCATCTCAGCACAATGTGGCAAATTTCACTCAGCCTCACCTGATAAAGCCACTCTACTCATAAGGCCTAGAGCCACACAGGTATCTGGAAAGGTAACTGCCACTTAAATCAGCCCTTGAAAGATCACCATGCAAAATGGAAGTTGGCTAAAACTCATCACAGTGTTCCCTCCATCAAGTGTATCCAGTCTCAGAAGCTGAAAAGGATGCTCCCTACAGCTACAGTGTCCATATATTCCAGGCTGGACTGAGTACTACTACTGAACCAAATAAAAACATCTTACCCGTTTCCACAACATAACTGTTTGAGCCTCCAGCAGTTGTACTATTGAACCAGCTCTGTTTCCTGGCATTTCTAGATCTCTCTAAAGCCACTTTCATACAAACTTCCAAGGCAAGTGTTTCTTGCAGGCAAACGCCCTAAGGGACATGGTACATACCAGAGATCTCAAAACCCCATCTTGGGGCAGTAGTACCCGAGTTGGCAGGTAGTCAGGTCCTTCCATAAATGTGCCAGTTTGGCTAACAGAAGATGTACAAGCTTTTCCTCCTCAGCTCTTACCTGAAGAAGCTGAATTTGCACATACTGGGCTCCAGTGGCAGGGTCCCTTATTGTCAGCCCTCCATTTGGCAGAACTATGTTGCCACCCAGTCGACTGCCAGGAGCGGATGATGAGAAGTTGGTAGGGCTCACTTTACCACCCTTGCTTTTCCTCTGACCAGAGCCAGATGCTGCTAAAAGAGAGAAGGTTTAGGATTGAGATGGTCAGAAGCAACTTGCCAGTTTCCTGCTAGCAGTTTTCAATTTGATGCAGTTATTTATGCTACACAGATGTCTGCCAACAGTACTGTATTATTAAGCACCATCTGATAATTGCCACAAGGCCAGACAAGAACCAGCTGATGAACTCCAACTGCTGACCGAGCACCTTTTGACACAGAATCTTTTAGGTTGGAAAAGACCTTTAAGATCATTGAGTCCACCTATTAAATCTAGGGATGCCATTAAAACCACATCACAAAGTGCTGTGATTTATTGCTCACCCCTGCGGTAGCCCAGAAGCCTCAGCATGCCTGTGGAGTTCTACAAAGGAATTAGGAAGTAGAACTGCTTTTTCTATTTTTAATTAGCAACTCATCTCCTGAAAAGTCATGTTCATCATACTCCCAAACTGTAACAGAAGCACAGTGAAGCTCATCTATTGACAGTAAGATTCCAAGGACTGTTAGGTAGAACAGGCTGCAGAAGCACAACTACCACAACCTTAAGCATTTTCCAGTTTAAAATCTGATGAACCAGTTGCTTGTATCACATGCTGAAAACCAAAAACCTAGTCAAAATAAATGTCAGGATACAATCCTGCCAGCTGCTCCATGTTTTGGGTTTTAAACCTATAGTAAATAAAAGGCTTGGAAAACTTCCTTTTAAACACTGAATTTCCCTCTGTAGTGTACATTCAACCTAGTTAAACCTAGTTATCCCTCTGTGTGATGATGCACTGAACCAGAACTTATACAAGTAAGACTTTCACAGATACAGAAACATGACAGTGCTTAATTCAAACCTAGTCTCTTAACTCACCTTAGAAATTATCACCTTGATTGTCAGAGGTGGAAGGTCTGAGAGACAGCAAGGAAGAACTAAGCTATATATATGTGATATTCCACCCCAGCCCCAAGGATAGACACAACTCAAAACACCTGAGCTCACATAGACCACATCTGATCTGACAAAGTAACAGTTTATAATCCACATCAGACAGCTCTGAGTCAAATGAGTTCAAAAGAGGATGCATTTGAAATCAAGACCTAAACCTCACCCTGCACAAGAGCTCCCTACTAGGCTAAAATCAAAGAACGGGGTTCGAGTGGTTCTAGATAACCAAGAAATGAATTCCTTAACGCTGCATATACAGTGACAAAGTGAAACAGAGAAGTGAAACAAACTCAGCTGATCTTTTCAATGTCTGTACTGAGTAAAAGAAAACCCAATAAGGTAAGACCAAAAGCACAGACAACAGAAAGCAAAGTGATCTCAATTATGTATTTTAAGAAGAAATCAAAAAGCAGATTAAGAGATGGAGAGATAGTGTCTTGTTAACACTCACCAAACATGTGGTGCAGATCTCCTTATAAGCTTACTGTGAATTTGATATTGCACAGAATGCAATTATTCTGAGCAACAGATGGCACACCACATGCATAAGTACTTTAACTAGCAATGAACAGGATGGGGTGCTTTAGGATGTTCTCAGATTCCTGTTCTCATTTCAGTGCCAAATCCCTGAATTGTATATAGGAAACTGAACAAAACGAATGGCTTCTCACCTGTGCTGCTCCCATTCCCTTTTTGTTTCCTTTTCTTGGCCAGCTGAATGGCTCTGTAGTCTGTTCTTGCAGATCCACTGCTCTCCTGGTGAAAGAAAATAAAGCCAAGAGATGCAAAGTTTTCTTACTTCCTATCTGGAGTTGAACACAAAAAGAAGTTAGCTCCACATTCACTTTGTAACATAAACTAAAAGTTAAGTCTGCAGTAACACAGTAAAACAGAAAGAGAAGAGTACTCAAAATGGGAATGAGGACCGAGATGAAGATGTTTCGGTTACTCTCCCAGCTCAAATCTTTCCCTGGGATGAAATGCACAAGACATACCACATACTCTTGGGTGTTCTTGTAAATCCCATTTCTTTCTCAGATAGACGGATGTTCATTTTCTAATCCCTTAACTTTCCCCACCAGAATTCCAGTATTTCTCAAGAGGATTTATTACCACACCCAATCTACTTCTGATTAACCCACGACAAAACCTATTCAACATAACATTCCACGCCCTTCAACAAAAAAAGCCAAAACCTGAGAGGTCTCCCTAAGAGGTATCTCAGTTATCCACGGGTAAAGCAGTCACTGCATACCAAAAATGAGCTGCCAGTTACGGTGCCAAGGTCCATTTCTTTCTGCGCACTGTAGCTCCCTGGAGGGTTGGAGAAGACAAACTGTGTCACTACTTTGCTGCCCTCTTGTTGACCAACAACATCCGAGCTCGGAAGCAGATTGCGTTCAGCTTTAGTTGGTGTTAGTAACTCAGGCACATTGGTACCGCCGAGGCTACTAGAAGGAGTCAAAGCGGCTGTGTCGATGGTTAGATTATTGCTGGATGTCAAACCGTGCACATCTTGGCTGGAATTCCTCACCGATAGGGATGCTAGGGAACCCAAGGCTTCTGCATTGACAGTCTGTACATCATCCAAATTTAAAGTGCTTTGCTGTAGAACTGTTGCACTGGTTCCCAGCAAGAGAGAACTGTCCAGGCTCTGTGGCATATCGCTGCTCGTCACCAGTATCAAGGGGTCGACTGCCTGGCTCAAAGAACTGGTGCTGACAGGGAGGTTTCCTCCCAGTGTTGAGCCCACCGATGCAACATCAATGGTGACAATTCCAGAGTTCACCAGTGCCATGTCTGTTGCAGTTCCAGAATTGTTACTAGACACGTTGGAGAAGAGGGATATGAGGTCTATGTTGCTGAGATCGCTCTGTCCTGGACTAGTGAGCTCACTACTGGGTGTGAGGGAGCTGGTTGCTTCGAGCTGAGTGAGGAGGTCTGGAAGAGAAGAGGTATGGCTTTAAGATAAACCTTTCATCAGAAAATGAGGAGGAAAAACATGAATGATCAAAGGAGGAAGCTTCAAACTGAAACACTTCCCAACTGCCCTGAAAGCAGATCTAAGGACACGAAGCTTACTGAAATTCACTCCTTTAATGATAAATTTCAGTTACAAGAGCACTTGCCAAAAGTACCACCAAGGCAGACCAGACCAAGTTAGGTTGCAGAGGAGTGGGAGTGCAAAACAAAGAGCTTTTGGTCCTCGCTCATGTTTTACAGATGGCATGGAGAAGGAGAAGCTCTACTTCATTCAAAAAGCTGCAATTTCATAGAATCACAGAACAGCTAGGGTTGGAAAGGACCTTAAGATCATGAAGTTCCAACCCCCCTGCCATGGGCAGGGACACCTCACACTAAACCATCTCACCCAAGGCTCTGTCCAACCTGGCCTTCAACACCATCAGGGATGGAGCATTCACAGCTTCCCTGGGCAACCCATTCCAGTGCCTCACCACCCTCACAGTAAAGAACTTCTTATATCCAATCTAAACTTCCCCCATTTAGGTTTTAACCCATTACCCCTTGTCCTACCACTACAGTCCCTAATGAAGAGTCCCTCCCCAGCATCCTTATAGGCCCCTATAACACAGGTCAAGCTCAAATCTCACTTCCTGATACTCAGTTACAGGTGCCACTAAAAATTTTAGGGAGGGAAAACCAATTCCAGTCTGGGTGAAGATTCTGCCATTTGGCTCAGATTTCAACAACAGTAAATACACATTTTCCTTAAGAAGACATCCAGGTTTTCCACTGCACCATCCCATAGTTTGAAACGACTACTTTACCTGGGCTGAAGTTATGCTGTTTGACCATGTGCGTCTTCATACTGTGTTTGGAAGTGAAAAACTTATTACAGCTGGGTACAGGGCAACGAGTCTTTAAGGAGTCCACATCCTGAAGATGTTTTTTGGAGTGAATATACAGGCTACTTCGTGCTGAAAACTTTGCACAACAGCCTGTAGGGAGATATACAAGGCTTTAAAGTGTCATCTGATTTCAATCTGATGTTGCTGTTTAGTGTCTCAACAGAATAAATGAGAGTAGCTTTGCGAACTCTATTTGCAGTGCCCATGTATGCATTCAGAGGAATCAGAAGAAAACCAAACACATATTGCATTGGTTTACATCAAGGACATCTCAGTGGGTAGGGCAGTGCAACAACCTGTTTCTGACAACAAGAAACTCTTTAAGTCAGGCAGTACAATGCAAAACCTCTCCCTGCTACAGCATATTAAATGTTACCTCTTCATGATGACTGCTGGCAAAACCATTAAAAAGAGAAACGATCACCAAGCAGAGCTGCTTTTCTTTATGAAGCAAGATATTATAGAATCCCAGACTGGTTTGGGTTGGAAGAGACCTTAAAGCTCATCCAGTCCCAACCTCCCGCCACACGCAGGGACACCTTCCACTAGAGCAGCTTGCCCAAGCTCCACCCAACCTACTTAGTTTTACCTCTTCAAACTCTGTTAGACGACTCCACTCTAAACTGTCCCAACCCCACAACAAAACTTGTGCTTTGGGAAAACACACACAATCTTTAGGCAACATACGCACAACTACCAGTTAACACATTAGAATGGACCAATACCTTCTACTGGACATTCAAATGGTTTTGTACCAAGGTGAGTTATACTGTGGCCTTTCAAGTGTTCTGCTCTTGTGAAGGACTTCCCACAGCCTTCTATTGGGCACATAAATCTCCTGTCATCTTCATGCTTCCTGCAAGGGAAGGCAATTACCATTGGCATGATTAAATCCACTGCTGCTTAAATAATGGAAGAAAACCAAACAAGCAGCAAGTGATTTAGGGCAGTATAACCAGAAAAGGTTACCTTTTATGTCTCAGCAGCTTGGACATGCTGGTGAAAGACCAGCCACAACCTTCGAAGTCACAGATAAAAGGCCTTTCACCTTAAGCAAAGAAAGGTTATGTTAAGAATCTAACAGGGACAAGCACACTGCTACTAGAAGATCTCAGAAGCTGTTTCAACTGAATCCATTTAAGACAACTCAACCACCCTCTCCTGCCAGTCACTGCAGAGTACTGTGATGCCCCTTCCCTCTTAGACAGTCTGAGCCTTCTTTAACTCCAGGCTACTGCATCTTTCCATATACATCAGGAAGCACAAATAATTAATGACTGATCCATGTCTTTTTAATCTGAGCCACCATGAAGATGCTTCAATAGCCAAGAACAGTGTTATTCAAACTAGAAACACAACTGAAATGGGTTCTGTTTTCATGACCTGTGACTGTATGTTGACTACAACAGTCTGAAGTTGGTTTCTAACCCATCTAAGAATCTTCACTCAACAAAACAACACTTAGAAAACAGTTTTCCCAGCACACTGAAGCCAATGTATTATCTCCCATGCTTTCCCAGGTCCAAGTCACCCTCACAGATACCTGTGTGGCTCCTCATGTGGATTTTCAGTCGGCAGGCTTTGTCATACTGCTTGTTACAGCCAGGGAACGAGCAGCAGAACTGCTCCTGCTCTCGGAAGTGGGCTCGATTGTGGGAGAATAACGCACTCACTGTGATAAACGTCCTTTCACAACCTGGGGACAGAGAAGGAAAACAGCGCATGGGCTTGATGCAAAACTGAATCAGGAAACTGCAGTATCTCCCTCCAAACTTTTAGTGAGGGACCTTCATGATCCTTCTTCTAGGATAGTCCATCCTAGTACATAGAAAAACCAAACAGTGCAATCCTAAACTACGCTACTCCCAAGGACTATGATCATTTAGCCTAGGTGGGCAATCAGAACACATACAGCCTGGTGTAAGGCACATCACTAAATACTCATACTGCGCTTCACAACAGCACAAAGCCACGTGGTAAACTGACCAGTGAAAGCGCAGCACTCTCCAGCTCCCAGACTGTCATAGAATCATGGAATGGTTTGTGGTGCAAAAGACCTTAAAGCTCATTCAGTTCCAGCCCCCTGCCACGGGCAGGGACACCTTCCTCTAGAGCAGCCTGCTCCAAGCCCCTGTGATCAACCCGGCCTTGAACACGGCCAGGGATGGGGCAGCCACAGCTTCTCTGGGCAGCCTCACAGAGAAGAACTTGTGCCTAAGAGCTCATTTCAATCTCCCCTTTGCCAATGTAAGCCTCCTGCCAAGGGCCGGGCCACCTTCCATGAGACCAGGTCGCTCAAAGCACCCTCAATAACCCAAGTGACCTGGAGCTGGCTCTTCCTCACGACTCAGGAGGGGAATGAGGGCCAGCAAGGAGGAGAAGCGAGCTTTGGGGACGGGAGGGGCCGCGGGCCCGGCGGCTCTGGCTTACCGGGGAAGTCGCAGCGGTAGGGCCGCTCGGGCTCCAGGTGGCTGCGGCGGCGGTGCGCGGCGAGGCGGGCGGCGCTGGGGAAGCGCTGCCCGCACAGCTCGCACTTGTGCGCCGCCTCCTGCTCGTGGGCGCGGCTGTGGGCCCGCAGGTTGTAGACGGTGGTGAAGCGCTTAGAGCAGCCGGGCGCCGCGCAGGCGAAGGGCCGCAGCTTGTCGTGCGAGTGCAGGTGCCGCCGCAGCTTGTAGGCCGTGGCGAACGACCAGGCGCAGCCCGGCACCGGGCAGCAGAAGGGCCGTGCCGCCGCACCGCGGTCCTCCTCCCCGCCGCCACCACCACCGCCACCGCCGTGCGCCGAGAGGCGGTGCAGCCGTAGCTGCTGCTTGCGGGGAAAGGCCTCACCGCAGCGCGGCTCCGGGCACGGGAAGGCCGGCGGAGAGCGCGGCCGCGGCCCGCCCGGCGGCTCGGCAGGGCTGGCGGCGGCGGTGGCGCGGGGAGGCGGCGGCGCCGCGGTGCCCGCGGCCTGCTCGGCGCCGGGGCCCAGCGTGAGGACGCCGTTCTCGATGCGCACCACCAGGCTCTGGTTGTTGATGGTGATGGTCCCCGAGAACGAGCCGTCCTCCGCCCCGCCGCCATCGCCGCCGGCGGGGGGCAGCGGCGGGGGAGGCGGCGGCGGAGGAGGCACCGCTCCAGAGGCCTCCTCCTCCGGCGGCGGCGGCTCCGCTGGCGGCGGGCCGGGCTGGGCGCGTCCCGCTTCGCCGCTTCCCGGGCCGGCCTCGGCCGCGCCGCGCACCACGTTGAGGACGAGCAGGAGCCCGTCGTTGTCGGGCGCGGGCCCCGCCGGCGGCGCGCAGGGGCTGGGCGCCGGGCTGGCCTCCGGCTTCTCCTCCACCAGCAGCACCGGGAAGCTCACGTAGAGGCCCGACGCCGCGGCGGAGGAGGAGGAGGCGGCGGCGGCGGGCGAGGGGTCCCAGTCGGGCTGCGGGCGGCGCGGGGCGGCGGGCGGCGCAGCGGGGCCGCCATGTTGCGCGCCGGGCCGGGCCCGGGCCGCCTCCGCGGCGGGCAGCCCCTGCGTTTCCATCTTGGGGGTCCCTGTAGCAGCGCCTGAAACCGGAGCCGCGGGGCGGGGCCGGCGCGGGGCAGCGGGGAATCCCGGAGCGCGGAGTTACGGAGCGGAGCGGGAGGCGCCGGGGAAACCCGGAGCGCGGAGACACGGAGCGGAGCCTGGGCTGCTCGCCACGGTCGGGGTCCCCTTGCCCCAAGGGAGGATGTCCGCGGGCTACCGGACCCCAGCGAGGCGCTGCACAGCGATTTGCACCTCTAACAGTGGCACAATTGGAATTATTTCAGGATCTGGGGATTGTTCCGGGATTTGTCCATTCCTATTAATGGCGAGGAAGAGGTTGTGCTAAAGAGGAGCACTTCCAAGCTTGCAAACCACAGTTGGAGAGTTAGAATAGGTAAATACATCAGCAAAATAGCCTAGGGGTAGGCAAGAGGCTCTATAATAACATATTGTTACTCAAATCAGTTGAACCTATGAAAAAAAAAAATCCTAAGGATTCGCCTAACCCATAAAACCTATTTTTCTCTCATGTCCAGCTGCCACCTGGCTCTCCAATATTGAAGGAAAAGGTAAAAACATCCCGTATTTGCAGTGGAAATCACACCAGGCCCCTCCTGCTGTGGCAGCGAGGAGCAGTTCCAGCAGATGGTGCTGTGATCCTTCCTTCCGCTGAGCGATTCAGCATCAAATCTTCAGGAGCAAGGCTGCGAGGCTGCTGGCCAAGGCCACGGCTGGCGCTTCTTGCCATAGAGCTGTAGGCTCTATGTATGCGTTAGCTCACTACAAAAATCCACTGCCTCTACATCCAGTGGATGGGATCTAACGCAGTACCTACAGAGATGGACAGCTTGAAGGCTGCTCTCCCTGAGTTGGGTTTGTCCAGCAGTGAGCTCAGCTACCCGAAACCAACATCAGCATCCCCACAGGACAACAGCCCATTCACAGTCCCAGCTGCTCTGCAAACAAGTCGAGAACAGATAAAAGAAGGCTCAGCAGAGCTCAGAAAGGGAATCTTCACATGGAGCTGATGGATGGTGGATGTCACCCATTTCATCCCAGGCAGGAACAGGCTACTGCTTCCCTAGGCCCTCCCAAAGGTCCTGTAGAAGTCAGTCCGTTCACATTTGTTACGAGTTGAAATGTGCAGTTTAAAGACCAAAGCAGATTTAAACATATACACATTACTATTATATACTACATAGTTAAACAACTGAATGGTCATAAATGGGAGCAACTGCTCATCATTTCTGATGCCTTTCTGTAACCCAAGCATACTTGCAAATTTATGTCCTCTGGTCAATAAAGCTACAAGGATGAAAATAAGGTTCCTTTTTGGTCTGGGATGTGAAGGTGAGTTTGCTGGTAAGTACCCCAGTACTAAACAATACAGAAGGTAAAGAAATCATCATAAATATTTCATCAACAACTTCTCTTTGGTGGATTTTTAACTCAGAATTAAGACAGATCGATGGAACAACTCTAGAATCCTTAGTCCAGACAAGCCAGGTATTTTCTGGTTGTTCCTCTTGACACAACAGTACCCTAGTGCTTTTGGACTATGAAGACTGAAGTGGTTTTATACACCACCAAGATACTAATTTTGGACCCAGTCCAGTGTGGTTGTTACTAATAGGTAATGTATAACATATGTCAAAGCAAGGGCTGTCAAATCTGGCTGGCAACTACTCACATCTCAAGCGTATAACTTGGCAATGTGGGTGTTTTTTCCATAATATAAAGCAATTCCCATCAACTGCAGATTGCACCTCACAGAAGGCTCAGTTACAAGCAGATGCCACTCTCGCTGTTCATCTGGAGACATACACAGTACATGAACAGAGTAAAGAAATGATTTGTGAGTCCAAACAAATGCTTTCCCCTTTACCTGGCACCAGAGGCAATACAGAGCTGCAGAGTGTGCTCACCTGGCATGTACCAACAGTTATATAGCTTGGAGAGCCCACAGTCCTGTGGACAGAAGCTCATCACACCTCACCTGCAGCAGGCAATGCAGTTTTACCTGTGTAAGCCCTTTCCCTTCCAATTCTAGTTCCTTTACTTGCAATGAATTGCAAACACTGTTCCAAATACATTAGTGAAAAGATTATTCCCAACATCAGTGGAGCTGTCACAGACAGAGGTTTACCCCGGTAACAAGTTAAAGGGAAAGAAGAGGAGCTCACATAGACATTTGTAAAGCTTTTATCATCTGGCCAGACAAAACAGGTATTGAGGAAGCAACTTCAAATGTATCTGCATGGACAAAATTGCACTTGGAATACCGCTAGTGTTTCACAGCTTGCTCCAGGATGCTCTCATCCACCACCTTGTGAGGGAGAGTCACCTTCAGCGTGGCATTCTCCTTCATTGCTTGGCAGATCGTTTCATAAGCATAGTCATTACCCGACCAGCAGCGCCTGGCAACCTGTCAGACCGGAAAATCAATGGGTGTAAAAATCCTGCATTTCTCCTGCCACATCCATCATTGCACAGCATCTGTGCAAACACCGGTGCCCAATTTCGTAACAATAAATCCTTCAGCCAGTTTCTAGTTTCCTTACTGATTTGGGAAGTGATTTTTGTGATATCTACTTCATTTTCGGGAGTGGTATTTGGGTACACTTGGTACATCTTCCTGCAGAAACATACCATTGGACAGATAACACTGGTAGAGCCAGGCACCTTAAAAACTTCACAAAAGTCTCCCTTTAAAAGTCATTGTGCACTCAATCCCAGCTCTGTAAAACTAGCCCTTGCTTTAGACAACAGCGTCTTTTAAGCAATTGATGCTTTTGTAGTGGGATAAGGCAAGAAGGAATCCTGCAATTCTCTTGAGAAGTGAAACAGAACAGATCATATCAGTACTGGCAAGGAATTCTCAATACATCAGGTCCTTGAGAGGTTACATAACTGAAATACAACAGGTCTTATCCTTTACTTACACTGCCAGGTTGATTTAGTTCTCTGCAAATATTGAATCAAAACCTCTCTGCCATTTCAGAGATGGGATCCTAGTCTTAAACCCAGGCAGGATCTATCTGGACACTAATGGAATGCAAAAACTCTAATGGTAGCAGCGATGAGCTGGCATTTAAATGACAGGCCTTCCGAGATCCCTAGATCTGGAAAGCTGGGAATAGACAAGACTGAAGTTCATACAGTTGTCAATTGTATTATGTAGGCAAATAACAATGCCAACGTGTCTATAACTACACTATAACAAAGTTATAGTAAGCATGCTTCCCTTTCTGCTTAAAGAACAAAACACACACTGATATGTGGGAATTATTGGGCTCCAGTACATTGTAAAGTCAGAAGGGGTGGTCCCAACGCCTTACAATGAGTTCCTTACCCAGGAATTATTCAGCCTCTTTTAGCACTTAAAGTCCTTTGAAGTTGGTTGGAGAAAAAGAAACCCAACCAAACAAAACAACTCATTGATTCCACTAGAATGAGGCTCATAACCTCCCATATTAGAAGCAGGAAGAGAATGAGTCTCTTGGCCTATTAGGACTATTCCTGGGGTACAGAAAGCCAGATGCTAAAAACTGCTGCTTGAGTGCTCATACTCCCCATTCAGATAGAAAAGATAGGAGCACTGGGACCCAAGTACCTAAACAAGCATAGTCCTGAAGACAGGAAGATCTTAAAGCGGACATATGTAATGAGTTTTGCTTACTCCATTGGAAACATCCCAGCTGAGCATCATCTTTGCCCGTTCTTCAGCCTCCTTAGACCCATCCAAAACCAGGCCAAACCCCCCATTGATCACTTCACCCCTAAAAAAAAAAGTATGGATTTAATACAATTAAATCAAAATCATTCAAACCAATCCCACAAAACTCACAGGAGGTGACTTGTTCAGTTGCAGTGCAAGGATGAGAAAATAGAAATGGTGCTGAATAAGAGACGCTGTCAGTGACTTGTTTTACTTACACACACACACATGCAAAAAAAGCAGGATTTAGCAGAGCAAAGGCCTCATTTCATGACCTATTCCACAATCAAACCTATTCCACCTGTCTTGTAATGCCCAGCTATCAGCCAGCATCTGCTCCAAGCAGGGGGACCAAGCCAGGCTTGTGCTGCACCTCCTGAGGACTGGACTGGGTGTAGAAACAAGTAAGGAAAGGTTAACCCTGCTGATGGGACACTTACCTGCCTCAGGGTATTATCAACATTAGCTGTTCATTTGCTACACTAGAGCCTGCCATATAGATAGGATCAGGAGGAGGACCTGTACTTACTGAAGCAGACAGATGGATCTATTTATATTCTCCTGAGACAAATGAAAGAGCAGAAGTATCTTATTAAAAGAGTGTTAACCACCACTTAATGCACATCTGCCTTGATCCCTTCTAAAACAGCCTTCACTTTGAATGAGATACATAGATGTTTAAAGACACCAGTGCCAACTTTACAGGAAGCAGACTTATTGGCAGAAGAAGAACAGGAATATGTTAAAACTAACAGATTATACTTGGGAGAAATAACCAGTCTGGTTTGAAAAGGATGGGGAAAACACGTAGAGCAGAACATCTTGTCTGACTTCAGAGCCTGCTCAAGTTCCTGTTTCACTGCATATGGGGAATAGTGGAGAATGCAGTAGGATAGTTATCCATTACCGTAAATCTATGAGGGTTCTGGTGTTAGAACTGAGCATCAGCAATACTTGAGGGATGGGGCACATCAAACAACACCACATGGTATGAGAATCTACCAATGGAGATCCCTGGAGGCAGGATGTTGTCGTCTGTGTTTTATAGTTAATATAATGAATAAGCTTCCAAAATGTACAGAGAACAACATCAGACAGATCCATGGATCAGACAGGGGTTAGGTGCCTTCCGGTCCAGGAAGGAATCGTTTCTTACTGTGTATTTTCCAGCAGTAGCTCCTCTGGAAATGAGGCTACATTGGAGCATCACAGACCTGGGATCTGCTCCCTCAATCCAGAACTCACATTTGCTCATTTTCAATGTAAAGTAATTTATGTGATGTTAACTGCCTTTTACTAGTTACATACACTACCTGTGTGCTAAGTACAACCCTATCACATAGCTTAGCAAGGAACTTACTGCTCTAGTTCTCCCCATCGTGGTGC